TTATTTTGGGGTTTTTTTTTTTTTTTTTTTTTTTTTTTTTTTTTTTTAGGTTGCTAGACTGTGTGTAAGGTTCCTGGGGTAGGGGGAGAGAAAGAGAAAGAGAGAGAGAGAAAGAAAGCCTCCCACACCATGGGGCATGGTCACGCCACAGTGTCCTCTCCTCTGTCTTTCTTTCAGGATTTTGGATGGGCACATCATACACTGCCCAGCCTGTTTTTCAAACCATTGGGTCTAGGACTTTAACCACATGGTTGGCCATGTGGGATCCAGCCACTGTATCTACCAAGCCACAGGCTGGCCCAAGGGACTGTTAGTGTGTTAAAGATGATATACGCGCTTTTCTGGATGTGGACAGTACAAATGTAACTGTCTTTCAGGTCGAAGTCGTCTTTGCCTCTTTCGTATTCGTCACTGGTATGTAATACATGTGCTGCACCTCAGTGCAGACAGTGCGGTGTACTCGTGTTGTGGGAATATGCTGCTTTCTTCTCTGGTCCTTTGGTGCATGGTAGGATTGAATGAGGCAAAGAGGCGAGATATGCTGAAAGGGCCCCATGAGTGTTGGTCCCACTACTCTCCTTTTAACGGGCATAGAACAGCATTCTTCGAGGTTGAGGTCGTGTGGAAAACTCTTTACAGAGACTTTATTTAGTAGTAGCGGCAGGTAATTCTATGGATTAATGGCACCAAAACAATGGTAATTCTCTCTGTACAAGCAGAAAAAAAAATATGAGCAAATTTGTGTATTCCAGGTGCGAAATTAGGGATGACAAAATGGATAATGACTATTTTGGTCCTTTAGAACTGCACCTCTGTCATTCTGAAGAATCAGATAAGAGTTTGCTAGATTGACAGAATAACCCTGATTTGTCATAGGTATATACACTGTTTTGTGACTTGCAGTGAGATTTTTAAAAATCGGTACTTTAGTATGCAAATGAATATTAATGCCAGCTTACGACTCTTCCTATAATAGCTCTTAGGTGGGCTTTGAGATTTCTTTCCAAACCCCATTTACTGTATTTGGCAATTCCTATTTGCTAGTACAGAAAACAGTACTAACTTCTGTAACTGTACGTATGTATAAACAGTGCCATGAAGTGGATTTTTTTTGGAGAGGTTTTTGCTATAGGGCGTGTGCGCTCGCCAGACAGACAGAGAGAGACAGAGAGACAGAAAGCAAGAAATCACCCCCCGGGGGGATGGTCACGCCGCAATCCCTTCTCCTCCATTCTCCTCCTAGGATCTTGGGCACACACGCACATGCGCCCGGCATGAGTCTTAAGCCACCGGGTCTGGGACACGAACCGTGGTAGACTACGTGGGAGTCCAGCGACACAGCCATTACACTAACTGCTGGTTCCCATGAAGTGGATTTTTCATGTTTGCCTTTTTATGATAAATTTATGCAGTGATATTATAGTGAGAAAAATGAACGTGAATTATTTTATAGGTGATAAGATGACTTGATTGTGAACTATAAAATCTTTATATGTATCATTTTTCATTTTTTTTTTTTTTTAAGGACTTAAAGCCCAGCAACATAGTAGTAAAGTCAGACTGCACTTTGAAGATCCTTGACTTCGGGCTGGCCAGGACAGCGGGGACCAGCTTCATGATGACGCCTTACGTAGTGACTCGCTACTACCGAGCGCCCGAGGTCATCCTCGGCATGGGCTACAAGGAGAACGGTCAGCACACGCTATTCTATTTGAAATGCCCTCTGGCAGAGCGTTTTTGGTTTCTTTTGACCATGCTTAGGCAGAAGTGCATGGAGTTAAGTATGTATCACTGTTTGAAATATGTACTAAGAGTTTGAGAGTAACTATAAATTGTGTTTTAATGTTTGGAAAGTCTTGGGGGTCCTGTTTATTTAACTACAAACACATCCCATCAGTAGTATCATTGGATAAATAATTAATTGCCATGGCCCCTGAGACAGAATACATGCCCTCTGCTGCCTGTGACCGAAATGAGCATTTCTGACTGACGGAAGAAAGCCCATCGTGTATTGACGGTCTATTCCTAGCAGGAATCCTACTATGCGTTGGTGATATTTGACCGTATTTCTGACCCTGTGAAATTAAAAGTCATAGCAGTAGCACTTTGTGTAAACCGAAGAGCTACAGTAAAGCTGCTCGACAATTAATGGATAATTAAGGTGACCTCTTGAGGAAGCAGTAATTTTCATCAAAGCTGGTGTCCTGCTTTAAGAAAATAGCACACACACAGGGACTTCAGAAAGTTTGTGGAAAAATGGAATTACAGTATAGGTTTGTTTTGGTTTAAAAAAAAAAAAGTGAAATCCAGACATAGACTTTTTATAATTAGCATTTCCATGAACTTTTTGAAGAACCTCACCCACGTAGTATTACATGTGAGTGTATTTGATTCTCTTTATCAATCTTAGACATGAGGTTAAAGAAAATTACATTTACTGTCAATCTTTTTCTAAGTAAAAATGCTATTCTGTTTTCTTACCATCTATCTAAAATTTGAAGATTTTTTTTATGTTGATATTTCAAGTGACCAATATGAACATTGCTTTTTCATTGGCTCTAAAACCATTGATTGTCACAAATACTGTGTAACATGTCAGTGTCCTATGAATATGATTTGGGAGTAGCTTCCTACCAGAAGTTAGCACTGAGAAAAGCTGTCCTACAAAGAGTTGACAAGCTTCCCTCTCTACATACGAATTCTGTAAATCAGCCACTGTCTCCATGCCCCCATGCCTGGGAAACTGAGTCACATGTGTTTAATCCTGATTATTAAATCAGCCAGAAAACTTAAACGTGAGTACCACTTCCTTTTAGTAACACCTCCCTATGCCCATTTTAACAACCATACTTTATCTTTTATTGCAGACTACCTCAGAGCATTTTGGAAATACAAGCCAGTTTAAATGTCCTAATAAATGAAACTATTAGATCCTTTAAAACTAATTTTGTTAATACTAGTTTTAAAGGGTTGTCATGGGTTTTTTTTTTTGTGTTCATCAAACCAGGAGATAGCGTCTCATGCTTACACATTCAAAAATCTTTTTGTTTGGGACCAGTAATTAGTGTAATGGCTGTCACTGGACTCATGTAGTCGATTGCGGTTCGAGTCCCAGACCCGGTGGCTTAAACTCACACCGGGCGCGTGTGCGTGCGTGCCCAAGATCCCGAGAGGAGAATGGAGGAGAAGGGATTGCGGCATGGCCATCCCCCCTGGGGGGTGATTTCTCACTTTCTGTCTGTCTCTGTCTTTCTGGCAAGTGCACGCGCCCTATAGCGAAAAATCTTTTTGTTTAAAACTGGGTATTTCTGAAGATAAATTTTTGTCCTGGATATTTAACTGAAGTTTGCCTTTCTCTATAAAATCTGTAGAAAAGATTTATTTTAACAGATTTTTACCAAAAATGAAAATCTCAGAAAGAATTTTTCTTTGATGGACTGATTTATAAATATTAAGTTTTCCTTTAAAAGATTTATCCTTTCATACAACAGATATAAAAAGATGTATATGCATTTTAATACAAAGTTTTAGGGAAACGAATTTCACAGAATTTTAGAAGTTATTCCCAGTTTAGCCCCTAAGACTCTTCAGTGAACCAGAAGTCTCTTCATGTAAAAATGTACTGAAACCTGCAGGCTTCAATTTTCTAATCCCTCCAACGTGGGTAAAGGATGTATTTCTACTGGACTCATGTAGTCGATTGCGGTTCGAGTCCCAGACCCGGTGGCTTAAACTCACACCGGGCGCGTGTGCGTGCGTGCCCAAGATCCCGAGAGGAGAATGGAGGAGAAGGGATTGCGGCATGGCCATCCCCCCTGGGGGGTGATTTCTCACTTTCTGTCTGTCTCTGTCTTTCTGGCAAGTGCACGCGCCCTATAGCGAAAAATCTTTTTGTTTAAAACTGGGTATTTCTGAAGATAAATTTTTGTCCTGGATATTTAACTGAAGTTTGCCTTTCTCTATAAAATCTGTAGAAAAGATTTATTTTAACAGATTTTTACCAAAAATGAAAATCTCAGAAAGAATTTTTCTTTGATGGACTGATTTATAAATATTAAGTTTTCCTTTAAAAGATTTATCCTTTCATACAACAGATATAAAAAGATGTATATGCATTTTAATACAAAGTTTTAGGGAAACGAATTTCACAGAATTTTAGAAGTTATTCCCAGTTTAGCCCCTAAGACTCTTCAGTGAACCAGAAGTCTCTTCATGTAAAAATGTACTGAAACCTGCAGGCTTCAATTTTCTAATCCCTCCAACGTGGGTAAAGGATGTATTTCTTCCCAACACCCACTTCTGCCCTTTTCCTCTTCTGCTTGCAAAGAAATGTTGCCTTCAGACTTGATTTCAAAGCCAAGTACAAATTTTTAAGTCTTTTCCCTTTACTTTTCTCATTCCCTCTTTTCCTATTAAATGGCAAACACTTTCTCTCTTTTGTCTGATTTTCAAGCCCAATGGTATAACATTTTAGAACGTGTTGTTAGTTTTAATGAACAGGGAGAGAACCCCCAGTTGCCTGTTTCTGTGTCTAGCAGATTCTTTTCAGCACTGACGAGGGTTCCCATTTGAAGTTGGCAGGGCTCGTTGTTTGCCGGGAGAGACTCTGGACGACAGATCTGTGAGAACCTCCCTACTGAATCTGGCCAAATCCAAATTCTTAAACCAAAAGCCGTTTGGTTTTTACAGGTTTAAAAACCTTTAGGTAGGAAACATGAAATCACACTTCTCTTCCTGAGCTGTCCTAACTGATGAGCTGTTCATCATGGAATGGACTTGGGCCTTTTGGGATAAGTAGAGTAAATGTGACGTGACGTTAAGAAAATAATTGCCTTTAATTCAGAGTAAACATACCACTTCCAAAATAAATTAGGCAGTTCAGGTTGAAAATGTTTTCAGAGCTTTAGATTAACTTTTTACTATAATTATTCATAGAAACATTCTTTCTGCTAAATATTTCAGTATGCTTAATTATTTCTGCTCATGCTTTTTACTTTTATTTGGCTTAAAGAGAGAGCAAAATGCACAGTTGAACCTCAAAGTAGTGTAAAGACTTGATAACCTTACTGCCTCACGCACGTGCTGCTGCCTCCTGTGCATGTGTTTATGAAGTCTGTGTTTCGTATGCTATGAAGAGATTCTCGGTTGCAAACTACAGGTTTTTTATTTCTTCATTTTCTGTGCATAGCTCTCACTTTAAAATTAGATTCGTAGTTAAAATGCCACACTTCATATTTTCTTTCGTGAACTGAAGAGCCTTTTGAAAAATATTTTGTGTTTTAACTTATTCCATTAGCTAAAATTAAAGTCACTTTTTTTTGTGTGATGTTTTGCAGTTTTTATATAATGCAATCATATTATGCTTCTTTGATTTTAATGACCTTTTGCTTTGCTTTTCCTTCTTTGTGCTGCACACATATAGTGGATTTATGGTCTGTGGGGTGCATTATGGGAGAAATGGTTTGCCACAAAATCCTCTTTCCAGGAAGGGACTGTATCCTTGTGCTGCTGCAGCAGTTACTTAGTTAGGCGGCGGGCTTCCCTATGCACTCTAAAGAAACGAATCTGCTACAATGACGTAAACAGGTGTGTTACATAGACTTAAAGTTTGTGGCTGTTATAGTTCAAAAAAATGGTGGAAACAGGAAGCTGGGATGTTTGTAGGCTGCATCTGGCAGTAGGACGTACAGTCTCTGCTGGTAGTCAGAGCACACTCACTGTCACTCACTTTTATTTTATACTGCTTTCCATGATTTTAAAGTATACATGGTGTGCGTGATTTTTTTTTAATGTTTATATATTTTTTATTTTAACCAAAATCTTTATGTTAATGTCATTGCATTTTGTTTTCAGTTGACATTTGGTCAGTTGGGTGCATCATGGGAGAAATGATCAAAGGTGGTGTTTTGTTCCCAGGTACAGATCGTATCCTTGTCTTTGGCCTAAACTTAGTTTCTAAAGGTCAAAATGTATGGCATCACTTCGGCTTGGTCAGGTATCATGTATTTTGTCTCTCCCTAATACCAAGTATTGCTTCCAAAATACCACCTGCAACTTGACATAGACTTTGTTTCCCCTCGTGACTGTTCCATATGTGAATTCTGAACGCTGCTCAAGTGTAGTTGTTCACAGTCATTTGCTGGCTTTGAGTTGTCTTATTTAACCTAGATTGAGAATCATGGCTCGCATTAAAATTCTCTATTAATTGTACACTTGAGTGAGTCTAAACATGCTCAGGCCTTATTATGAACTTGGAAGTCACCTGTTGCTTCTGGTCATGCTTTTGTTTTGTCCCCCCACCTCCTTTTTTTAATGTTCTGTGTGTTTTGTGTCTTTTTGATTGTTGTCTCATTCAACATAACATACTGATCTTTTCACCTGAGAATATCAGCAGTGGTAGTTCCATATGGTGACAGTGAGACTTGGATTTATGCTTTGGTTCATCGGACTACTCGATATTTTACACTAACAGTGGTCGCTCCTCAGCCTTTTGGCTAAGATCTAGTGTCTTTTCTTACCAGTCTGCTGTATTAACAGTGATCTGCTCACGTGTTTAATAACTGGTAGCATTTAGGATTGTTTTAGGGGAGGAGTGGGGCACCTGCATGTACTAGGTGATGATAAGAGAGTTTTAGGCGATGGTCTTCAGGGGTTGAACATGCACAGACTAGGAGGAGGGAGCGCAAGCAGTCCTGACCTTGAAACTTACTGAAACAACCTTTCTCATAAGTTTCAGGGCTTAAAAACATTTTACTCACATACGCTGAGCAAAGAATGGCAAGGAAAATGCCAGTTCTATCAAAACCATCCTTTTTATTCTTACTGGTTATTTTCTGTTAGTGTAGAAAACTCAGAAAAGCAGAAAAGATTCTGGAAATACTTTGCATTTTCTAGAAAATGCATTCATGTTTTCCGATAAGCTGGGGGAAAAAAAGTAAATTTCATGTAGTTTGTATTTAGAGTCCCTGTAGATAGTAATTACCATTATTCTTTCAGTCACTTAGAATTTGCATTTAGAATTTGTGAGTTTAAGCTTTCCTTTTCTTGGTAAAATCAGTATTGGTGCGTGCATGCATGCGTGCACACACACACACACACACACACACACACAAAGCGTGCACATACACACACAATAAATAAGGTTAACAAAGCTTATTTATTGATCATTTCTGTCCACCTACAGTCATTATCTTTGCAAGGTGGCTGTGAGATAAAATTTATAACTGCCACATTCTTTCTTAGGATTTTTAAAAACATTCTTGCTTGTGTTTCAATATGACTGTGTCTAATATGTTGAACGCTAGATTCAGAGGATTTTTCTTAGCTACATGATACTAGATATTGATCAGTGGAATAAAGTTATTGAGCAGCTTGGAACACCATGTCCTGAATTCATGAAGAAACTGCAGCCAACAGTAAGGACTTACGTTGAAAACAGACCTAAGTATGCGGGCTATAGCTTCGAGAAGCTCTTCCCTGACGTACTTTTCCCAGCTGACTCAGAGCACAACAAACTTAAAGGTACTTTCACAACTGTTTGCATTTAATTTCATTTTGGGGGTGTGTGTGTATTCAGATTCTCACCAGTCATAGTGCAAGATTATCTTGGGTGGTAGGACAGAGTGAGGTTTCAGTTATTTTTATCTTTTATTTTTTGATCATATGTGTGGTCTGATTTTATACTTTTTAAATAAAAGATCATCTCAAATTTCTGAAATGTATTGATAATGTGAGAACCTTCATAGATACCTGTACATTAACATCATTGTTTTTGCAGCCAGTCAGGCAAGAGATTTACTATCCAAAATGCTGGTAATAGATGCGTCTAAAAGGATCTCTGTAGACGAAGCTCTCCAGCACCCGTATATCAATGTCTGGTATGACCCTTCCGAAGCAGAAGCTGTGAGTTCTTCTCTTAATGCTTGAAAACATACTGCATTCTTAGCGTTAGAATTAAGCTACGTGTGGAAGAGAACTAGTATTTTTAAATTAAAATTGAGATACCTGATGATGGGTTTTTTCTGTTGTTGTTGCATATAATATATGTCTTAAGCTAATGTGCATACCCATGTAGCTCCCACAAAATCAAGTGACCTCCCACTGTTTCTTGTCCTCGTGCCCACCTCCAGAGGAGGGAGGATGTCGAGAGTTCTGAGTGAAACACGTTATTGTATCCAGAGCATAGCAGAATTCTGATATTAATGAAATGTGACAGTTGAAAAATGAGAAGAAAAGAAGATGTTAAATATCTTTTTTTCCTGAAATGAAGAATGTTGTTGATGATTGGTCAGTCTGGGTTTTTATAAGTCCCTGTCTGGCAGATATTCAGATAACTATGAAGAATTCACATACTCCCAAGAGAAGTGACTCAGTTCTCGTTCCTTATGTTTTTCAGCCACCACCAAAGATACCTGACAAGCAGTTAGATGAAAGGGAACACACGATAGAAGAGTGGAAAGGTAACGGTCACCAGTTCTCAGAGAGAAAGCGGAAGCTGCTGGCTTTTATGGTGATTTATTCATCATGTTAGAGAAGTGGATACTTTCTGTTATTCCTGATATCTGGTAATACGATTATTAACATTTTCATAAAAGACGAGAGTAAGGCCTGCCCCATAGCCTAGTGGTTAAGGGAGCTGGATCCCATGGCTGACCATTGTTTAAATCCCAGCCCCATGGCTTGAAACAGTCTTTTTGAATCTTGAAACACTGGGTGCACATGTGTATGTGCACAAAATCTCAACAGGATGGAGAAATGGAGGAGGAAAGATTGAGGCGTGACTATACCCCTCTGGGGGAATGCTTCCTCCTCTGTTTCTCTGGTGAGCAGTGTGCCCTCTGGCCATTGAAAAGGAAGGTAAGAGCAGAGCAGCACTGCTGTCCACACTCTGTTCTCTCGCTCCCTCTCCTGGTCAGCCCACCCCAGCTCACTCGTGGAGTCCCTGCCTGGTGACCTTAGTCCTGCTCTCCTCCCGAAGGCCCCCTTTTGACACCTTACCTGGATCCGTTTTCATGCTCTTAACCCTCTTACAGTGACTCAACACATGAGTGTTTGAGGGATCTGTTCAGACTGCAGCAATCATAGAAACATGTTTTTTTTAGAGATTCCCTGGGACCTTTGGGCCAGGTAATTTTCAGATACCATATAACTCCATTTGTATTGTCATTAGTGTTTCAACCACGTTTTTATTGGCTATTTGACTTCGGGCAAATCACTTGGTCCTTTTCTTTTTAACCTCATCATGAAGTAGAAGCAGAAGACCTAGCATTTAGAGCTGAGTGTCTACCTGCAGGGAAGGCAGAGGGACTGGGAGGTGTACACCTGAGCAGGTGATACATTTACACCCACACGTCATTTGAAAAGGATGAATTTGATTCTTTCCTCTCAAGAATAGCCAGAGATTAGTCTCCTCTGAGTTGACTTTGGGAGACTTGGGATTAGCAGAGCCCTGAGCAACTGACCTGGATGGAGACTAGGGTGCCAGGACATATCCTGAGGACTGGACAAGCATGAATCAGAGCGTGAATTAAACTCTGGGCCAGAGTGTATATCACAGTATTTACCCAATATTTTCACTATTTTTTTTTTTACCTTTTTTTCTTTATTCATGTTAGAGCATTTGTGCATGCACATGAAAATGAGAGTGAGTTGAGCTCTTCCACAGAGTCTGGTCGTGCTGCAGTCCCCTTCCTCCAGCATGACGGGCCTTGGGTAATGGTGTGGATTGGAACCATGGTCGCCATGTGGGTTCCATCTTTTTCAGAGCAGTGCATTATTAGCTGCACTGTGGAGTCAGCTCTACTCTATATTTTTGTGTCCTTTTTCCTCCAATTTGTCATAGGGTATGTGAGCTCGTAGCAGGTGGGGTGGGGGCTGATGGGGTGGAGAGTGGTGAGAAAGCGCTGTCATGGGGCATGGTCACACTGCAATCCCTTCTTCTCCTTCTCTCCCTCTTTTGAGGATTTTGGGGCTACACATGCCCACTGTGTTTATCAAGCCACTTGGACAAGGTCTGGGACTAGGCAGTCAGCCATGTGGGATCCAGCACCATTGACCACTAGGCCATGGGTTAGCCCTATCCCTTTCATTTATATGATATTTCAAAGTATTTTAATAGGCCCAAAATTGTAACATGTACCACATGTACCACAAAGAAAGAGAACCCTGCGAGTTGTGGTGCACAGTTCGTTATGTTGCCAGCCTCGGAGATCTTAGCTGTAAGCGAGGTGCACATTAACGTTAGTGTCACACTGTTCTCGTTTGTGTATGTATTGGGGGCTTTCGACAGCTTTTTTGGGGGGGAGAGGTTTTTGCTATAGGGCACGTGTACTTGCCAGAAAGACAGAGACAGAAAGTGAGAAATCACCCCCCAGTGGGGATGGCCACACCACAGTCCCTTCTCTTCCCTTCTCCTCTCAGGATCTTGGGCACACACGCCACACACACCTGGTGTGAGTTTAAGCCACTGGGTCCGGGACTCAAACCTTGGTTGACGACATGGGACTCCAGCGTTGTAGCCATTATGCCAACTGCTGGTCCTGCTTTTGACAACTTTTAAAGTTTACCTGTGTTTTTTCCTCAACCCCAAATGCATTTCAGTAATTACCCAGTCTGACTTTTTCAAGCTCTGCATGTGAGTTTAGCTTCAGAGCAAAAAGAAAACTCCGTTGCCAAAGCCGTCAGCTGCAGACTGCTGTGCCTGGTTAGCACATTTAATTAGCTTGCTTCCTCTGCTTGAGCTGTTCCCATGAAGGGTGCTATTTTCATCCTGTGTGCAGTGCTCATCTTCCCTTTTTGTTTCTTTGAAGAAAGTCACCTCTTGTTCTTTCTTTTGTCAGAGCTTTCTTTTTCTCCCTTCAAGCCCAAGTTTACCATGGCATGCAAACCTCAGTATCGCCAGTTTTGTTCATTCCAGCACTCCACACGTTACACCCTGTTACCAACATGAAAATGGGAGTAATCAAGTTCTCTATCTGAAGTGTTATCTTTAGGAATTATAGATTCTGAAATTCTGTGCAGCATTTTTGTTTGTGTATTTCTCTTAGAAGAGGATTTATTGCTGTTATACAATTCTCAAAAGATTTCATGTCCCACAGAAGATAATGAGTAATGAGTCCACTGAAGAACCTTCTGGTTGGTGCTAGAAGGTTCTTTAATAGACACACAGGCTCACAGGCACATGCCACTTTCTGTCTGAACTGCCAGATAGATGTCGGGCAGAAGGCTCACAGAGCAGCAAGGTTTCTCCTCACTCGGAGAGTCCTCACTGCTATCCAGAAACCTAGTAAGGGAATGGGAAGCCCATGAGGACGTTTTCTGGGTAGTGGGAGCTATCATACTGTACTACTCATAAGGAGTTGAAATATAGCGCCTGCTTTATTTTAATAAAAATGTGTAATCCATTCCGAATAAAGACACTTTCATATACTTTCTGATTTAAATGTGTTCAGCAGATAGCTAATTGAGCTTCTGAAGTGCACCAAGTACTGTGCCCAGGGCTCAGGAAATAGAAGCTAATTAAGACAAGCGTAGTTTGGGGCCGGCAGATGGTGTAGTGGTTACATTGCTGAACTCCCACATGGCTGATTGCGGTTCAAGTCCTGGACCTGGTAGCTTGAAGCTCATTGTGTGTGTGTGCATGCCCCAAATCCCAAGAGGCAAATGGAAGAGAAGGGATTGAAGCATGGCCATTCCCCTTTTGGGGGGGGGGTTCTCACTTTCCTTTTCACTGTCTGTCTTTCTCTGCCAAGCACACATACCAAAACCTCTACTAAAAAAAAAGAAGACAAGCGTGGTCCGAACCCTCACTGACAGCACAGTTAGAAAGCACTCGTAGTAGAGTGATACGTGGCATATGGTCCACTGTAGTGTAAGATGCTGATGGAGTGAGAGAAGGATGCCTCTGACCCCCCACTCTGCCCTTTAACCCGCCCTGGAAACACTGGTTACAGCACAAGTATTTCAGTATAATCCATGGTAAAGGTATAATTCTGGTAAAGGCCTTATTATTGACACTTAGGACTCCTTGATTGGTGCTTTTGGAACCTATTGGATACTAAAGGACACTATTTGAAGTACTTACTGTGTAAAAAAAACACCCAACCAAACAAAAAAAAAAATTGAAATCTGTGACTTAAATCACCTTGGTGACATTGCCTTTCAGACTTTGGAAAGTTCGTTTTGTCCACCTCTTTTTCAGAATTGATATACAAGGAAGTGATGGACTTGGAGGAGAGAACCAAGAACGGAGTTATACGGGGGCAGCCTTCTCCTTTAGGTTGGTTATAATATGAGCTTGGTTACAGTTACAGCTTACTTCTTATATTGTAGTCTTCGATGGCTGGTGTCTGCACAACTCTCGATACTTGTTTATCTATCGTTACTAGTCAGGGTTTTGTAAGTAATAGGAGTGCATTTGGGTGGTTATGTCGAATACATAGGTACGCTGTCATAAGAATGCTTTACACTAATGTATTGCAACTGACCATAAAGTGCTTGTCTCTCTCTGTGATACTGAATTCTTTTGAGTAACAAATTTAAAACAGTTCTGCATTGCATTATTGCATTGTCTTTTAGGAAGAAATTTTTAAAATCTCAGTGTACTTATCTTCCTATCGGAGCATCACTGATCAGTTTGGTGCCTCTGACACCAAGTTACCATCTCTCTCTCTGGTGTTCTGACTTGCTGAACTGAGGCAGTGACATACATGCACTGGAAAGTATTGCATCTCCAAGGAGAGGATTGGTTCAGTGCTTTTTATCATGAGCTGATCTGACATTCAATAAGAGTATAGGGACCAGCAGTTAGCGTAATGGCTGTGTTGCTGGACTCCCAAGTGGTCAACCGCGGTTCGAGTCCCGGACCTGGTGGCTTAGATTCATGCTGGGCGCGGGTGTGTGCGTGACCAAGATCCCGAGAGGAGAATGGAGGAGAAGGGATTGTGGCATGGCCATCCTCCCTGGGGGGTGATTTCTCACTTTCTGTCTCTCTGTCTGGCAAGCGTGCATGCCCTATAGCGAGAACCTCTCCAAAAAAAAAAGAAAAAAAGAGTATAAAGAATGGAGGGAAACCTCGACTGGCCCTTTTTAATACTAATGGGCAGATTAATATGTGCCACGTGACGGACACTGGTGGACTGTGCACTTACTTCATTACTCCTGGGAACCCCCAAGGCAGGGAGGGAGGGTTATGCAAAGTTTACAGGTCAGGAAACTAAAGCTCTGAAAATACCTGTAGGAATGATGAATGCAGTAACTGTTAGCAGGTGGGGGAACTCGGGAGCGCGTGGAATGCTGGGCTCTCTGTGTCCAGGCCTCGAAGGTTAGCGACCTGCCCCGAGGTACAGAAAGAAGCTGCACAGACAAGTAAAGTAGGACAAAGAAGTTTTGATAGAAAAGTGAAGATTCGAACAGAAAAATACACCCCACACCAGAAAGATGATGGCGGGGGCAGCTGTCTGGGCACAGCTGTGCTGAGAATGGGGTGAGGTGTGACTTCCATTGGGGAGCTCTGTCACTGTGGCTGGCTCCCATGGACTTTGTTGTGCCCGTAGACTCCTCCATCAGGTAAGGGGACTCCGTTAAGTCCTGGGGGACACACATATCCAGTGTGAGCTCTGGAGGGATGCGCCTGCACACAGGCGGTTTGGCCCACGTCAGCTTCTGTTGACCTGAGCGGGAAGTGGGATGTGCACCCAGCGTCCCAGAGGATTCCTGTGTGCTTATGTGGAACGGCGGGCAGAGACAGCAAACTCTCTGGGTCCTTTAACAGCAGTTTAACAGTGAAAGTGGACTGCCTATCCTCTCAGTGCCAGGGGTTTGGCTGCAGCGCAGGTAACAGAGCCTGATGTGTCAGGTGTCCCCTGTGTTGGCATACTGGGACTCCCTGCTCGTAACCTGTCACAGCCTCAGAGGGGATGGGGTTTTTCCAGCACCTGACACTGATTGCCTCTAGCTGGCCACAGGATGTCCCTGGCTTTAGAGGTCAAGACAGCTTAATGGAAAAGGTGAAATTTGATCTGTACCTCAGAGGCTGAGCAGTATTTCAAAAGATTGGTTTCGATTTTGAATGACCTGTGACATTTAATCGTTCTAAAACTTGAATGCGTTCTAAGAGAAAATGGGTAGTGTATCGAGCATCTTGTTTGTGGGTGAGGTTTTTAATTGTACTCCAGATGCCCCTTCTGTTACACTGTAAACATTATTTAAATAATTTGTATAGCTTCCTTTGACATTTTTGGTTACATTTTAGTGTATTTTAAATGTTTGATCATAAATGCCATCTTCCAAGTTATAATAAGAATCTCATTGAAAACTAAATTGCTGGGGCCAGCAGGTGGCATGGTGGTTAGGGTGCTAGACTCCCACATGGCCAACCCTGGTTCGAGTCGTGGACCTGGCAGATTGCTTCGTTACTTCCCCCTTTCTCTCTCTGCTCAAAATAAATAAATAATAAATTTTTTAAAAACTTAAATTGCTTTTGACAACTTTTTACCTATTTTGAAAATGGCCCTTTTTTGTTAACAGTTTATAACAAACTAAGAGCTGTATCATAAATGCTATTATAGTATAGTTTATTGACTAGCTTTGTACTGCTGCATAGTAGCAGTGTAACGGAGCAGTTCACGACGAGGCCTCAGGTGGGCTTCAGAAAGTACATTTTTGGGCCGTCAGCGCACTCTGCCAGTGAATGGCTACATCCTGAGTACCAAGTGTTCAAGTAGACGTGGTAATCTTTCAAAATAAATAGAGCAGTTGTATTTGTTTTCAACTTAAAAATGAATAATTTGAACCCTAAATAGAACTAGCTATGGTCACATAATAATTCAGTATTGAAAGGATAGGACTTGAGGTTTCTGAAATTTCCTGGATTCTTAATTATAATTTGCAAGAAAGAATGTTAGTTAATTAAGCTTTTTTTTTAAAGTCAGTTCTTGATTATGTATGAAAACAGAAGAAATAGCCTTTGATAAATCAGAGTAGCAGAAAATAACTACCACTTTGCTTGATTTTAAAAACTGACTTACATTGTTTTGCCCGTGGATTGCCTTCTCTCTTTGTTTGGTGGCTCACACTAAAGTGGGTTTGCTGCGCTGACTGTAGAGATGCTCCTGAGAGGGAGATGAGCTGAGACCGGAGACATCTACTGCCATCCCGGAACTTGAGGGTTTACTGCTTTGCTTTAAAGTCCAGAGAGAACAAGTGGTTTTCTCTTTCTTAGAGCCTTGATTTTCAGATTAAAGAGTTTATTATGGTGCATTTAGAATTTTATTTCCCTCTGATTAAGAAATTCAGACTATAGGCATACCTATGTGCGGCTGCTCATCCCAGCCGGCCGGGGCGTGTGGTCCCTGGGGTGCACCCTGCACTGCTCAGAGTGCTTTCTGTGGTGCGCTCTGGTGGGACTGGGGCACACCGGCTCACTTTCCCTCTGGGAACCTCATGGACTTTCTCGTGTCTTGGAAGTCATCACCTTTTCCCTGTCCTTTCTCTTTCAGACCTTCGGCACTGGGCCTGCTTTCTGTGCCCCTTTTCTTTTTTTTTTTTGGGGGGGGGAGAGGTTTTTGCTATAGGGCGCGTGCGCTCGGCAGACAGAGAGAGACCGAGAGATAGAAAGCGAGAAATCACCCCCTAGGGGGGATGGCCAAGCCGCAATCCCTTCTCCTCCATTCTTCTCTCGGGATCTTGGGCACGCATGCACACGCGCCCGGCATGAGTTTAAGCCACCAGGTCTGGGACTCGAACCGCGGTCGACTACATGGGAATCCAGCAACATAGCCATTACGCTAACTGCTGGTCCCCGCTTTCTGTACCCCTTCAGTTTCTGTCTTCTGTTCTGTCCCTTGTGGATCCTGTTGCTTTCTGTCTCCCAGTCCCCTCCTCACTCCCTAAGGATTTGCCTATTCTCATTTCCGTGCCTATTTTCTTGTTGCATTTGAAAGCAAGCTGTAAGAGGACATTTTTAACTGAATTTTTTTACTGATGGTTTTTAGGCAGAATGGAGGGGTATTCTGAAACCCTGCAATGCTGGGTTCAGGAGCAGTGCCTTTAACCCTGTTTGTTTTTGGCATCGTTGGGTACCTGAACCTCATTCCCAGAAATTCTGCTCAAACCATTCAAATTTTTTGGAAAACCATTGTTTCTAGTCTGCGAGCGTGTTCTTAAGAGTGTGGGTTTGTGTTACTCAGATTTGGCATGGCCCTTACGTAGTGATCATGTGGTTCTAGAGAACTCGGCTGGCGTGCGGTCGGCTTACTTCCTTCTGCTCCCCGGCGTGAGGCACACCTGCCCCTGGAGAAAGCCTCCGTCTCTGGTCAAGGATTCCTGTTAGTTTTTAAACTCCAGGAGATGTCTATTAGATTACACTTTTAGTGAAGGAAACAGCTTGCCCCAACTTTATCTGATTGCCCTGGCTAATCATACAGCCTCATGAAAACTGGGGCCTTGAGCTAAGGTCCCTTCCAGTTAGAATGATTTTATTTTTTTGTCTTGGCTTTTGCTTTAAAATAAGATGTACCAGAAATACTGTTTAGATTTTTCCTCTCTCAGTGAGAAGACACTGAACGAAGGTTTTCATAGTGCAGTGGTTTTTAACGTTTTAGTCATATGGTCCTTTGAGATCCTTGCTCTAGCAGAATTCAGTACAGTTTTGCACCTTTTGCCCCACACACCCAGAAGCCCATTTGTGGATACTGCTGTGGGATCATTTCTCAATGTGGCTTGGACTAACAGGTCTTGTCTTGAACTGGAAAACAAATGAAGTGGGAAGCTAGAACTCCAGGTTTCTAGACGTTTTTCAGGGTTCTTGCCAGCTTATGATGAAGAATGTGTGTCAATTAGTGCTGTGTTGAGTATTGTTTGTGATTTTTTCAGTGGGCCTTCTAAGCCCAAGGAGAAATGATTGACCACTAAGGTTGGTCAGTACAGTGCAAGGAGCTCAGTCCGCAACGCTCTCTGCAACTGACGTGCTGTCTTGTCTCTCATAGCACAGGTGCAGCAGTGACCAGCGGCCCTCAGCACCCGTCGTCGTCCTCGTCTGTCAATGATGTGTCCTCAATGTCGACAGATCCGACCTTGGCCTCGGATACGGACAGCAGTCTGGAAGCATCCGCCGGACCTCTGGGCTGCTGTAGATGACTACTTGGGCCTTGGGGGGGAGGGAGGGGAGGGGAGTCGGTTAGTCATTGATAGAACTACTTTGAAAACAATTCAGTGGTCTTATTTTTGAGTGATTTTTCAAAAAATGTAGAATTCATTTTGTAGTAAAGTAGTTTATTTTTTTTAATTTCAAGTGATGTAATTTAAAACCTAAGTTGTGTTAAAAGAAACAGCAACAAAACTGTATTGTATTTTTTGCTGTAATTAACTGTATAATGTAAACCTAATTATTTTATCATGGTTTAAATTTTTGCATATTTGCTTTATCTTATGCTGCTGATTTTTTTTTTTTACTGAATTTGTAAGATTTTGTTTATCAAAGCAACTATTATGTGGTGACTTGCCTATATCATGAATTATTTAAGATTTTTATAGTTTTTTTATTAGAATTTATTTCAGATGTTTTGTTCATGATACTATCCTTCAGGGTTATGTGCTTATCAATGAAATAACCCCAGAGGAATGAGGGAAAATAACCTGTAGCCAGTTATATTCAGGAATAACTACTGTAAATGATGAACGTGTGAAGAGGCCTCCAATATTCGCTACTTGCCAGTCCTCGCGTATGCAGCAGTTGGTAGCAGCCCTGCCCGGGTTGTGGCAAAAGCCCCGCCGTCTACATGGCAGAGGGACTCGAAGTATGTTTCTGAAAATGCTGGGCCTCTGCCACCTCCTCCTTACCCCCACCCAACAGAACTCAAGTGAAAAGAATGGTGTATTCTAAAGGTGTGCGGCATGCTCAGAACTACGATCACATAAAGTCAAGAGGACACTTCATGAATAATACATTTCAATGCAAATAAACAGATGGTTCACTTCTACTAGCTATGAGCCTGTGTTTGTATACACTGAGGTCATCTCCTCAGGCTGTAGGTCCCAGCAGTGGTCTAGAGTCTGGTCTCTCCCTTTCCCGCAGCCTCCGGCCCTTGGACCTTTGCAGTTTCCAGTTGCCCTCGGGCCCTTTACTTGGCAGTCCAGCCAGCTGAGCACCAGTTCTCTCGGTGTGTCTGGCCATTCTGTCTGTAGCGTAATCATGCCAGGGGTTCCCAAGCCTACCTAGACTTGTGTAGGTGACGTATCAAATGAGCAATATACCGTTCATCTGAGAATAGTAGCACAGTCATTGATAGAACTACTTTGAAAACAATTCAGTGGTCTTATTTTTGAGTGATTTTTCAAAAAATGTAGAATTCATTTTGTAGTAAAGTAGTTTATTTTTTTTAATTTCAAGGGATGTAATTTAAAACCTAAGTTGTGTTAAAAGAAACAGCAACAAAACTGTATTGTATTTTTTGCTGTAATTAACTGTATAATGTAAACCTAATTATTTTATCATGGTTTAAATTTTTGCATATTTGCTTTATCTTATGCTGCTGATTTTTTTTTTTTACTGAATTTGTAAGATTTTGTTTATCAAAGCAACTATTATGTGGTGACTTGCCTATATCATGAATTATTTAAGATTTTTATAGTTTTTTTATTAGAATTTATTTCAGATGTTTTGTTCATGATACTATCCTTCAGGGTTATGTGCTTATCAATGAAATAACCCCAGAGGAATGAGGGAAAATAACCTGTAGCCAGTTATATTCAGGAATAACTACTGTAAATGATGAACGTGTGAAGAGGCCTCCAATATTCGCTACTTGCCAGTCCTCGCGTATGCAGCAGTTGGTAGCAGCCCTGCCCGGGTTGTGGCAAAAGCCCCGCCGTCTACATGGCAGAGGGACTCGAAGTATGTTTCTGAAAATGCTGGGCCTCTGCCACCTCCTCCTTACCCCCACCCAACAGAACTCAAGTGAAAAGAATGGTGTATTCTAAAGGTGTGCGGCATGCTCAGAACTACGATCACATAAAGTCAAGAGGACACTTCATGAATAATACATTTCAATGCAAATAAACAGATGGTTCACTTCTACTAGCTATGAGCCTGTGTTTGTATACACTGAGGTCATCTCCTCAGGCTGTAGGTCCCAGCAGTGGTCTAGAGTCTGGTCTCTCCCTTTCCCGCAGCCTCCGGCCCTTGGACCTTTGCAGTTTCCAGTTGCCCTCGGGCCCTTTACTTGGCAGTCCAGCCAGCTGAGCACCAGTTCTCTCGGTGTGTCTGGCCATTCTGTCTGTAGCGTAATCATGCCAGGGGTTCCCAAGCCTACCTAGACTTGTGTAGGTGACGTATCAAATGAGCAATATACCGTTCATCTGAGAATAGTAGCACACAGCCATATGTAGGATGTCATTTGCTAAGGACTGTTTCTTCACATGAGCAGAGCAGGCATAAGTGGTGGTCATTTGGTCTGAGTCTTTCATTCTTTTCTACCTGATTTTTAATGTAACTTGCAACGTGGATATTTAGTAGTGTAAGAATGGTGCTGCTCCTGACAAGTGTATGTTCACTGTTTACATTTTATATCTGCGGGATGATTTCTCTATAACCGAACTTTTCCTGAGTAAAATGTCATCCAAGTCTCATTATTTCTGAAACACTTGGCCTGTATTGGCCCCAGGTATCTTTTGTTATTTCTGGAACAAAAGGAATTTCATGTCGTGAACTGGGAAATGTACTTACGTAAGTGGCAAGGTTCTAGGCAGAAAGCCTGTGGAATTGATGACCCCCAGGAGCAGGAAGAGGTGGAGCTCGCCATGCAGTGTCTGGAAATTTGCCTGGCATTTTATTTGTATACGTAGCGCAAAATTTCTTTTGAGTAAGGTATTTTAGATCATTGTTAATGTGCAATATTTAAGATGAAAATACATTAGCTTTTTATATTACTTTACTTATTAGCCCATTTGTTTTGGACGGTGTAAAGTCCTGACTTCCAGCCTCCTCCCTTTTCTGCTCATACGACCTGGTGCACTAACTATGAGGCCAGTTGGAGTTTCGAGAGTAGAGCACCTTCTGAGTCGTGGGAACACAGGACTGGGTTTACAGTGTTAGCAGAGATCTGAGCATGAGCATGTTCTGCGTTTATGTTAGTTTGACAGTTACTCAGCTTCCTTCTCTCTAGGCTAGATTATATCACTGTTGCACTTTAACAGCCGCCATGCTTTCAGAAGCGTCCTGTATTGTAAGTTTGATGGCCCGTGGCCCTCTCTGTTGGTAGAGGCTTTGGCTGAGCAGGGAAAACCCAGCTGTCCTGACTGCATCGCTGCTGCGAACGCCAGCTCCCACTTGCCAGGCTTCATTTTTCAGTTGAATTCAAAGAAGACCAACTCCTATTACTTTACATAAACTAAAATTCTTAAATTATATTCTGAAAACAAGGTCTGTTTGTTAAATGTCGCATACCTTAGGTTTTTAAAATACAGTATCTGAACACAGCTTCCCCTGCTCCCTTAAGTTTGTTAAGCTAAATATGTATTGGTTCTTTTTGTTTTAGAACTTTCAAAACATCTTAAGCATTGTGTGTGTATGTTTTTAAGAGAAATTACAAATAATATTTCTATCAAGCAGTACTTGTGTAGAGCTACTTTTCTTCCAATTCTGTTCTTTCTGTTTTACACACGTAACATACCCATTGTCTTACTGCCAGAAAATTACTTTGACCAAGTTTTATTACTCAACTTTATTGGTCAGGAAAGAGACTAATCCTTTCTCCATTTGTCTTCCTGGTCCCTCTCCTCTTACCCGCTGTTATATACTGACCATTCGGAGAGTGTGCTGTTGGGATTGCTCAGTGGTCACACGCTTAACTAGAGCATCTCAGCTCCTTCGTCCTGCTTGCCGAGCAGGTTGCATGTGGTCGTGCACCTTCGACGCCGAACAGCCCTGGTGTGCACCCTTCCACGTCAGGAAAGGCATGGCACGGCCGCCACGGTCCCGAGAGAAATGCCCACCTCTGGCATGCGAAGGCTGCCGCACGAGCCCTTCCCAGTGCAGAGGAGGTGACTGCGAAGCAGACTTTCCTGCAGGCCTTCCCATTGTCCTCTTCCATGCTGGTCCTGCCACGCCGTCTGAGAAGGTGAAGGTGAAGGTGAAGAGGACTTCGGTGTCCGGTAGTAAGATCGGCAGCAGGCAAATGAAGCCGTTTCCCTGGTTACAGATAAGACTTGGTCTACCCTGTTGGCCAGTATCCGCTACGCGTACGAAGACTGAACTGTTCAGTGTTGCCTGGGCACTAGCCTGCACAACATTTTGAGGTAAAACGCATAGTATATTTTCAACGATATCGTTGTGTGTGTTTGTGATGTTGCTCATTAGGCGTTAGCTGTAGAGTGGATGCATGAAGCCCCGTGACCCAGTGCACTTCTTACCGGCAGGACACCAGCCACCGCCATCTGTCATTAGCTGCCCTCTTCCATGTGGCCTCTCCGTATCCTGTTGCATTTTCGTGTGCATCGTGTTTCTACTGATCTTAGTGTTTCCTGAACCAGAGGAAGTGAATTTTTTTCTTAATAGCAAGAAAGATGAAGAAAGGTAAAGGGCATTGAAGCAGAAATGGATAGTTGGGGTACAATTGGAAAACTCGTAAGGAAAACAGAAGTCTGGATCAATTTCAAACTAACTTCTCTTAGTTAAGTGCTCTTAAGGAGAGTCTAGTAAGAGTAACACTTTCTGGCCATTTCTGGTAAATATTACCTGTGGATTAGTTTTGCACAAGTTCTATTCTCACAAAGACTTAAAATTAAACTAGGTTTTTATTGAACTACCTCACACTAATTTTCTATGCTTTCCCAAGTAAGCTGTTGCCCTTACTGTTAGATCTTTACTGAGTGCGAATTATACATGTGCATTAAAATACTTCTTAGCCAGTGTCAACACAAAACCAGTGAGTATGTAAAATACAGACCTTGCATCAGTTAGAGACACTCACGTGTAAAATCTCTCACTGCGTTTCTTGGGAGATGTGTTAGCCGTGCTTGTTGGCATTATTACCGTCTGTTTTTGTAAGTGGAAACCTGCTCGTGATACCAGTCCATTCCTTACATTTTACGGAAGGAGTAAACTTAGTAAATTTTACGAAGAAATGAATTACTTTTGTAGGCCCAATATTTGGTATATTTTTGAGAAGCTGTTAATCTTGTAGCGAATGATGACGCTAAACTGAAGTAGCTGTCTACCGGACCGTGTCGTCTGTGTTCTCATCACTGCTTCTCCTGTTTGAGGTTTTCAGCCCTGGGAAGCTAACTGTGGTCATTGACATTTGCTTCCCTTCCTCGACGACGTCATTCCTCTTTCATCCCTCCCCTTCCCTGTGTTCCGTCCCTTCTTCTTCCTCTCTAGGCAGAACTGTGGGGCACTTGGTAGGGACTGCTGCGATCATGACTGTGGTTCTAACCTGCACGCCCTGGTCATTAACATGCACCTCTGGAATGTAAACCATGTTACCTAGTATGTCAGTTGGTTATACTATTTTAAATAAAAAAGAAAAAAGTGGTATGAAAAGTATGAAATTAAGAGTTTTTTCATTGAAAACAGAACGTAAATCTGTGTTTTTTTTCTTAACAGTTTTAGAATTTCCTATGGATTGGGATGAAACGGGTATTAATAGGGCAGATTTCTTACATGTGGATTTTATACCCCTCTAGTCTTGTTTACCTGGTATTGAAATCGCTGTTGAAACGTCATCCAAAAAAGAACTTTGCTTCCGTCCTTAACCTTGTTCTTGGTAACCATGTGGGAGAGCAGCCACCATGCCCACTTGGGAAAAATAAGTGTTTAAAGTGAGTCTCATCCAGCACAAGCAGGGGGCTTCAGGTCTGAACATGTCTCTAGCTTTTGCCGTGCCTGTCTGCTCTGCCTACAGCGGGGGCTGCTGTGGGGTGCACGGGCCCCCTCCAGGTAGCGAGCATCCATCCGTCTCGGCCCTCGCCTGCCTCCACA